GACTATATCATTTCTAAAAAGAAAACCATACCTTGCAGTAAGTTTATGAGAAATTACAAAGATGAAATAAACAATGTACACATGTAAAATCAACAACAGTATTCTAGGTGTAACAATTCAGTATGGCTAGACTGGATTCAAACCCTGGACCTCAGATATTATTATACTATCACTCTTAACTGTTTGAGCTTCCAGCTGGTCAACGAAAGTGTCCTGGGCCATTTTCGTTTAAACAGGTCAACCTGTCGGACCACAGTTGTTCGTTTACTAAATGTTGGACCTAGTCATCTGATGCTACTTTCAGGTGAGCCTTGACAAAGCCTTGCATGGCCTGCATAAACAATTGCAGGTCCATCAGGATTTATACCCGAACATATTACTATTAAAATCATACAAACTGGTTGTTCCATATAAATGAACAGGCCCCTGTTTTATCCAAATGGATATTAAGGGGAGGTAACTGTGTATAGGAAAAAACACAGTCCAGTGGGACAGGGATCCTCATATAATAGATACTGTTCACCTATTGTAACATGGCAAGAGAAAATATGATGTCATGAATTCAAAGCAAAGAAGGAAAAAATCTAGTTAAAGATTACTTTGTCAGTGTTTATAATTTTGTAATTTTAAAGAATGATTGTAAAACTTGCTGTTCAAAGCCCATTTCATAAAAGAGACTTTTATCAGGAAGTTCCGAGTTTTAAATCCTCTACATTAGATGTTGAAGGGTGTTTTGGTGTTATTAAAGTCAGGTAAAAAATCTAAAAGTAACTAGTTAGATATGAATTTAACCTTTGGTGACCTTTAAACTCTTATTTGTTGACCAGTGTAGTGCTATTTACTGATTGACTCGGATCATTAATTTATATAATTTACAATTTTCGGACACTTAAACCTTTGTCCACTCAAAGGTAATTAATCGCTGGAGGTTATCGTGAGGCTTGGAAGTCAAGGTATGTCAATAATCAATCAACAGAATCAATTTCACATGTGACTTTGTGCTTACCTCCAATTAATCATTAAAACTTGCAGGTAAAAATGTTACAGGTAATAAGAGGAAGTGATGTATCAAAAGTTAATGGTCCACAGGTAAAAGTGAGGCTCTGGAGGAGTAGAAATCAACCTTTCTCACCTTTAACAATATTTGGGATTCCTGTATCTCAAAAATCACAAAACATTTATGCATTAATCCAAGGGGCCAATACATGTTCTCTGACGTAAAGAAGGGGAGTGAGCTTAATACAGGACAAAGAAAAATCCCTTGTATTCAATTTCTACTAAAGACCAGGCATGGGCTTTATAATGGCTGTATTACCTAGAATATGGAATTTATCATAGAGATAAGTTACCAGATAATTTTGAAGAGATGCAAGGTATATGTATATATATATATATATACGCTGTAACAAACTGCTGTGAATGGGAAGGGATTACTCCTTTCATGCATTATGCCTTGTTTTCTTCTAAATCTTTTAAGTAAGAATTATGAAAAAAATTGTCTTTGAATAAGAAAATATAACTGTTAATTTTTCTATAAAAAGGAATTATATCTTAAAGATATTACTATCAAAAACTGAATTCTTTTAATAAATGAAATAAATATGAATATCTTTCATGAAATAAAAAAAAGATAGCTGTTGAGGGGTTGAGGGGGGG